AGTAGCTAGCAGCTAAAGTCCTCGGCTTGAAAGTGCTGGGATCCCATAAGGGTGCTGGTTCTAACACCAGCAGCCTGTTTCCCATCCAGCTCCATGCTTGTGGTCTAGTCAAGGACAACTCAAAGCCTTAGGACCCTGCACCCATGTGGGAGACCAGGAAGAGCTCCTGGCTCCTGGCTTCAGATCAGCGCAGCTCCAGTCAGTGTGGCCAACTGGGGAGTGAATCTCTTTGTATCTGACTTCCCAATAAAAATAAAATAAAAACTTCAAAAATAATAATAAAAAGAAGAAAGTGTCTCAGCAGTGGTTGTCCTTAGGAAAAACAACAAAGATTGAATAATTCACCGTGAAAAGCAAACATTTCATGGGATGAAGTTTCTATATTTCAGAATTAAGATGTTATTCTTATGCAATGTATGAGAGTCCTTTTGAAGACTTTTAAAAGGGCCATGTGTGGGGAGTCACCTTGGGAGAGATAAGAGTCTCATAACAGACATGCAGGGAGCAGAGCAGAAGAGGGTGGAGCCTGCCTCCAGGGCTCTCCTGCTCCCTAAGGCCACAGCAAGAGGGTGGATCTGCTCCCCTCCCGAGGCTCTGCTGCTCTCTGAGCTCACCGGGGATGAAGCTGACATGCTGTGCAGGGGTGTGAAGACAGCGGGCGATAACACATGCCAGCTCCCACCTGTAACCGTAAATAACAGCAACTCTATTTTCTTTCATTGCTAATTCAATACAATAATATACAAGGAAACAGAGGTTATTTAATCTGTAACCATTTAGTTAGCAATTTTTAAATCATAAATATGAATAGCTCCGAGTGAGCATGTTAAAGTCGATTGAAATAGAACAGTGCATGCAAATGTGCTCAACACATCCACTCCCCTTACCGCTTTTGAGAGTCTGGGTTCCTTTCTCTTCTGAATACAGTGATGGCTACATCCAAGTGCAGGTCATAAGCAGTGATAGTTCTGTTGCCAACCCTGATTTCCGACTCTCCCCTTCCATAGACTGAAAGCTAAGAGGTACCAGGTCTGTAGAATTTTAGAACACTCAAGACTTGAGACCAGTGTAAATGCAATGATTGGTACGTATTCTGTTTAAGGGGTCAAAGGGCAAATCAGCTTGACAAAGGTGAAAGCTTAGGCTTTGAATTCTCTGTCCTGGGAGTCCAATATCAGGAGACTCAGCCACAGCACTGCTCTCCCTGGATGATCTCAGCCCACCATTCATGTCCTTGCTGTGTCCAGGTCCTCCCCAGCAGCCCAGCTCAGTCTTCTTTCTGAGTTGTAGATGTTGTACCTGGCAGCCTCACCATATCAGCTCACTAATGTCACAAGTATAACTGATGGAAAAAGATGCCTGATTGGTTCCCCCATCCTCTCATCACCTTGTTCTCACCACGTGATCCTTTCCTCCTCTCATCACCTTGTTCTTATCACACCACACCAGAAACATCAGCTCTCAACCTGGACGTTGCTCAGCCAAGATCTCAGAGGTACTCTGGCAATGCACTTTGTTGCCAGCCGCATCTGCATGTACTGGCCACATGCCGTACCCAAAATGGCGCCGGCCGGAAAAGTCACACCTTGGTTCCTGATGGAGAGTTACGTAGCTTTCGCGGTACTGCACAGGCGCCTAGCGCATGCGCAGTGAGCTGAGGCGTGGCCGGTGCATGAACACTGGGACTGACGAATCTAGTGGCCCAGGACCCTGCGTAATCATGATGCCGACCTATCATCGGCGGAGGCGGGGCCAGTCAGCACATAAGAGCAGACAGCCTGCTGGGGTCGGAGCCTTTCCCTCCTCATCTTGGTGCGCACAATAAAGATTACCGCAGAAGACTTCACTCGCGTCTGCCTCTTATCGCCGGACGATAAGAAACGTGGGCACGACAGCACTTCTCTTTCTCCACGCTTGTAGCCCACAGTTTACCTTGAATTTTTCAAGTCCACAGTCTGACTCCATCTCCAGTCCCTGTGTAGCTTTTTTCCCTGTCATCAGGACCCGAGGAACTGTCATATTCCTCTCACTCAACTGCTGACAACTCAACCCGGGCACTATTTTTTTAAAAGATGTATTTATTTGAAAGGTAGAGTTACAGAGAGAGAAAGAGTGACAAGATCCTTGTATCCATTATTTCACTCTCAAATGGCTACCACAACTGGAGGTCCAAAGCCTGGAGAAATGAGCAAATTGCGCCCAGGTGTGCAGACCCTGCGTTTCTCTTGCATCCTCCTGATATTCTCTCCACGTAATACCCAGAGCAAGTTTTAAAAATGTGTGTGTTAGGTGTTATTTATTTATTTATTTATTTTTTAAATTAAAAAATATATATATTGGAAAGTCAGATATACAGAGAGGAAGAGAGACAGAGAGGAAGATTTTCCATCTGATGATTCACTTCCCAAGTGAGCGCAATGACTGGTGCTGTGCCAATCCAAAGCCAGGAGCCAGGAACTTCTTCCAGATCTCCCACATGGGTGCAGGGTCCCTAGGCTTTGGGCAGTCCTCGACTGCTTTCCCAGGCCTCAAGCAGGGAGCTGGATGGGAAGTAGAGCTGCCAGGATTAGAACTGGTGCCCATATGGGATCCTGGTACGTTCCAGGTTAGGACTTTAGCTGCTAGGCCAGGTGTCATTTATTTTTCTACTGAAGACTTACAAGTAGTTTCTTGCTGCTTTGGGCCGAAAGCCTCAGATCTCCTGAATAGGAAGACAGCCTGCTGTGCAAGGGCTATTTCCACTGCTAGAAACCCAGCCTTATTGGCTGAACCTGATTGCTTAGGACCCGGTGCTAGGCACCTGAAACAACCTTCTTCTGTTACCTTTCATTTCTGAGCTCAAACAGCAGGAAGCCTCCTCACAGAGATGCCCTGAGGCACCTAGGCACCTTGTAGGGCAGATCTGATTCTTTATGTTGCTCCCTTAAGTTACAACTATGTATTTTTTTCTGTTGTCAATTCACTAAACGTGAGACCAAGACTCACCACTTTCATGGAGAAAACTGCCACAGTGTGGGGAAAATTTAATTAAAATGAAGGAGACTTGGGTCTTCCCAAAGCAAGCTTCTACCTCATTTACTTCTCTGGAAAAATTGCTGCATCTGTGGCCTGAAGCCACCTTGACTTTGCAGTACAGGTCTGACATAGGTTTTCTTTAAACATCTGAGTTATGCAATGGAGACCAAGCCCACACCCTGACATCCTTACATTGTGATGTAGGATGCCGCCAGTTTAGTTTGTTGTCTTCATCAGATAGGTTAACATTTTCATTCTAAGATCTGTCCAAATCCAAGTCTCTTGCATGGGCACTGTGTGCAAAAGCCCTCAGGCATTTATGCTGATCAGGAATGGGAGAGTTCTATTTCTGCTCTCTGTACTTCTTGGAAGCCAAGCACATTGCTCAGCAAGCAGGAACAGCCACTGGCTCTGAGTGTAGGTGGGAACCAGCACAGAACACCTCTATGATTTTCTTGAGAACGGTTGTAGTGATTTAGAATAATTGGGAGCTGTTCCATGGTGACAGGGCCAGTGTCGCTGAGCCTTTCCAGGAGTGGCTGCAGGTGGAAGAGAAGCTGACCCATCTCTATGCGCCCACACCAGCTCTGTGGGCACAGACCGCGCTAGAATCTGTTGCAATTATGACAGAAACATAAAGGCTCAATGTGAGCCCTGAGGTGCATTTTGGTTTCTTAAGTGAGGGTCTAAGTGACAAAAATGAGGTGACCAACCAGAAGCTTACGGTGATGCCAGGAGCACTGCCTCCTCAGTAACTCTGACAAGAAACAGCTGTCATTTTCATCGCTCCCTTCCTCATTTCAGATGCAGTCAGCTTAAAGCAATGACTGCTGGACTGGAGTGGCCAGAAGGTCTTGAGAGAGCGCCCTCTCATCTTTGCCACCAACCTCCTACATACTCATGAAGATTTTCAGTTTCCTAGTTGCTGGGGTCCATGCTATGGGTTTGGAAAACACGAAGGTGTGACTGTTAAACCCTGAGGGGGTCTAACGGTTACGGACCCCGAGAGTTGCTGCCCAAGAGCTCAAGAACCAGGTCAGAGGCTGCAAGAAGCAAGAGGATTTTATTGACGTTCGCAAACGGGCCCCTACTCCAGCAGGGGAGAGAAGCCTCGAGCTCCGGGAGTACAGGCATCTTATAGGCACACACTACAAGCTTAACATATTTTTGTGACAGGCCTTAAGTTTTATGGCCCTGACTCAGATGCCGACTCAGACCCCCTTGACTCAGACCCCCCTTCCCGCAGCGCGGGCCTGTTACAGTTTTATGGCCCTATTCTGACACCGACCCAGGACTTTTTGAGCCCATTTCTCAGGATAAGGAATTCGCTTGTCAGGAAACAGAAACCCAGACCCCCTTGACCCAGTCGGGCCTGTCACAGCCTTCCTCTTGCTTCTTATCTTGCCAAGCAACATATAGAAGCAAGGAAAGCATTAACCCTTTGCTTTCTCTCTTTCATGAAGAGTATTGTTCCATTGCAGGCAGGGCCACAAAGAATTCCCCGCTGCATGGCAGGGCCCAGCAGATCTCCCTACAACCACCTGAAAGGCAGCTCCACCTCCATTCTCATGGACACCAGACAACCCCGCTGAGAATTCTGTAATCTATTTAGGCATTGTCTACCTCTGTGGAATTAGCTTTTTACTATCAATGAGAGCTTGGAAATCAATGCTGCTGCTAAAGTCTTGGCCAAAGGGCCTTTGACAATTCATGCTGTCTCTGTCTTTGTCTCTGCTGCCCCCATTGGCCATCCTTGATCTTTAGCTCCCTCCTTCTGTGATGCATTTCCTCTCTTAACTGATTCAAGATTAAGTTGTAGAGTGAGGATTGTAGTAGGAAAGTGTTACTGATTGATATGAATCGTCTGTTGAGCACTTCCTGACCACAGGGTCAGGATGGATAACTTCCTGCTTGAAGATGAAATAAATGGCAGAATTATCCTTGGAAACACCTGATAGAGGAGTTAGACTGGGTAGTAGGCAGTTAGGGTATTCTGGGTCCCCAAGTCATCATTTTTTTCTCCTTGTGCAGGAGCCATGCAATTCTTCTCTGTATCATTCCAATTTCAGTATATGTGTTGCTGAAGCGAGAACATCATCATTTTTTTCTCAAACATAAAAGTGTATTTTCCCCACCATGTTTTGGATTCACCAGAGCACGTCTCTCCTGAGACAAGTTCATATTTTAACATATCAGGCTGGTCTCCTTATCACTGAAAAGGGAAAAAGAAGTAGCATGTCTGACACCTTTCTGGGCCTTTTGTCCCAAGGCCAGGTACCATGGAAACCAGGAATTCTTCTCTGTTTATGGAGAAACTGTTACCAGAAATGCCAGTGGGTTCTTTCCTTAACTTAGCATAGAAATAAAAAGCCAGGAATCAGTTGTAGACAGAAAAGTTTATTTGCAAAGGGACCAGATGAGCAGAGAAGGAAGAGGGAAGGGAAAGCACCTCCGGAGAGAAAGGCAGGAGGTGGGAGAGACACCAAAGGTTTGAGGGTCTTGGGATTTTAAGCATTCCATGACCCCTCCTTATTGGGCGGAGAACCTACACGTAAGACGTTGCCCATTGGTGGTCTCTTAATCAGTTAGGAAATGGGTGGGCAGTGCTGGTGCCACCCACCTGAAGGTGTGGCCAAGACCTCGGCAAGCCTGGATGGTCTCAGAAACATTTTTGAAGTAAACCTTTAAAAGATGCCTTCCCCACCATTAATACTGATTTTTTTTTCCCCACATTTCCTCCTACCACTATGGCAGAAGGCTACGTTTTTCCGATTTTTCCTCCTGCCACTATGGCAGGGGGTAAGGGTCCTTTCTATCTCAAAGCCCCCTCCCGTCACTAGGATGGGATTCTCCTTTCTCAGCTTTTCTAATAAATCTTGCTTTAACACTAAACTGTGTTGGTAGGAAAATTCTTCTTTCCTGCGAGACAAGAATTGAGGTTGCTGTCGTATTCGGGGTCAAAAACCCTACAACACACCCACTTGACCATGACATATAAAGTCTGTGCCAGAGCTTGTGACTACTTCTATATAAATAAAGAGGACAGCTTCTGTACATTGTCCATTATAGTGATCCTTTTATTTTCTCTACGCCTATTCTACGCACCCTTCTTGAGTTCTGAACTTGGCTGGAGCTGGACTCCGGCATCTAGTTTTCCACAACATCCTTGGGGGGACATGGAAACATCATGACCAGCTTCCTAGTGACATGAGAGAATGTGGAGGAGAAGGAGGTTGTGAGGAAGCCAGCAAAAGATGGAGGGAAGAGGAGGGTAGGGAAGGAGAAAAAAGAAGGGGAGGTGGAGACACAGACAATGAAAAGAGAGGATTAGGGTGCGTGAGAAGGGCTTGCATTGAACAAGGGAGAGCAAAGGGACTCCATGGGGCGGTGGGGCGGTGGGGGAGGAACTTGTATGAAAGGCTGGTATTACAATGCAGTGGTTAAGATGCTGCCTGTGACATCAACATCCCATGTGGGCACCTGCACAAGTCCCAACTCTGCCACTTTCTTCCAGTTCTCTGCCAGCGCACCTGAGAAAAAAACAGATGGTCCAAATACTTGGATTCCTGCCATTCGTGTGAGACCTTTGGCTGGGGTCCCAGGCTCTTGGCGTTATCCTAGATAACTTCAACTTTTGTGATAATTTGGGTGAATGAACAGCAGAGAAAAATCTCTCTTTCTCTCTCTGTGTGTGTGTGTGTGTCTGGAACTTTGTGTTTCACATACATAAGATAAATTAATTTTTAGAAAAGCTTACTTGAGTGAAAATTCACTTCTGCGTCAGGAAGAGGGAAATCCTCTCCTACTGACACCTCGCATTCATTTTTTTCTTAGTTTTAACAGGGCTTCTATTTATATTCCTTACTGGGTTGTGAAACACCTGGAGAATATTATGTTTCAGTCACCTGAGCACATGCATGTTGCCTTGTCCCCACATGTACCTGCCTGCCTCTTCCTCAAGGCAGCTTCTAGTAGGCTTGATGTGTAATTATGTCTCCTAAAGGTGCATGGTTAATGTACATTGTATTTTTCTTGTGTCTGGAATACATTGGTTATCACTAGCAGACGCTGGGAGGCCAGAGGTTCCTCAGCTGTGTTGCTTGCTCAGTGTGTCGCTCCATGCGGCTGTACACACACACACAGCTACACTGATGTAATTTGACACCAGAGTGACTTGCTCTGTACGAATGTTAGTGTCTTCCCAACCCAAAGTATGATACCACTCACACAGGAATAATTTTGTAATTGAGATAATTCTAGATTCATAGGAAATGGCAAAGGCATTGCGATAGGACCCCTGTATCCCTCATACGTTATGCTTTATACAACTATACACAATATCTACATTGGAAAATGGAGACTGGAAAGATGTGTGCCAAGTTCTGTATTAATGAACCACATATGTGGATTTGGGTCATCATCACCTAATCGGGGTACAATTTGTTCCATCATCATAACGATGCTTTGATGTGATTCATCTATAATCACGCTTAGCTTCCAGATCCCCTAAATTTTCAGTTCCTGCCAGCTATTACTTTTTTCTCAGTATCTAGAATTTTATCATTTAGCAATACTATATAAATGGAATCCTAGGGCCTGAAACCTTTAGACACTGACATTGGTTCATTTGCAGCAATGTCCTTGAGGCGTCTGAGTGGCTGTATCAATGGTTTTTACTGTCTGTTTCTCAGTATTATTCCATGGCATGAATTGTTGCAATTGCTGATACCTTAACTGACTGCACTGCCCCTAGATTATGCTTTTATCTACCCCACACTAACCTCATATGAACCATTGCACACAGGTTTCTCTGTATATACGCCCTCTAGTCTCTGCACAGATGCGCAGTTGCAGGATTAAATGACAAGTATCTGTGTTCCAGTCTTCCAATGCACCGCGTAGTGTTTCTGTAGGAAGTGAACAAGTGATTGAGTTTTTCTACATCCTCACCAGCATTCGTTCGAAGTGCAGCAACACTGCACTTCGTTTTAGCTCACACTCGTGTGCTGCTAAGCCATGGCTGGTCATGCTGAGATGCTTTTCCATCTGAATTTCTACACTCAAATCTTTCTTCATATCTTTTGTCCCTAGCAAATTGAATTGCTTTTTCTATTTCTGCTGTTGAGTTTTGAGAGCTCTTTACATATTCTTGACTCTAATCTTTTGCTATGTATGTGGTTTATGCATGTTTTCTCACCATGTTAGCCAGCATGTACTTTGTTTCTCTTCACAGACTCTTGCAGAGCAAAAGTGATAAATGTTGGTAAAATCCAATATATTGATTTTTTCTTTTATAGATCATACTTTGGTGCCATATCTAAGGATTCTTTTTTAAATGTATATTTTTATTTGAAAGGTATGTTTACAGAAAGAAGGAAAGAGAGAGAGAGAGAGAGAGAGAGAGAGAGAGAGAGAGAGAAAGAGATTGGTTTTCCATCTGCTTAGTTACTCCCCAGATGGCCACAAGGGCTGCAGCTGAGCCAATTTGAACCCAGGAGCCAGGAGCTTCTTCTGGATTTTTCTACCAGTGTATTTGTTCAAGGACCTACCCCATCTTCTGCTGCTTTCTCAGTCCATAAACAGGGAGTCGAATCAGAAGTGGAGAAGCTGGAGCACAAACTAGAGCCCAAATAGGATGCTGGTGTAGCAGATGGAGCATTATCCTATTGTACCGCTGTGCCAGCCCATATCTAAGAATTCTTTACCAAGCATCCAGATTTGATAAGTTCACTGATTTTAAAACTTTTTGTTTTCTGGTTTACACTTAAACCAATAATTTATTTTAGTTCATTTTTATGTAAAGAATGAGGCTCACTTTTTGCCTATTATTCAATTGTTTAAGTATCAAAGTTGAAAAAACTATCCTCCCTTCTCCAAGTTGATTTTGTAACATTTCTAAAATATGTTGGTTTGTTTACATGATTTTATTTCTATTTTTAAATTTTATTTCATTGATTTTATTTGTTTGTATTAAATATATAATGTCTGAATTGCTAACATTTCCATTTGTTTAGGTTCTTCTTAATTTTTTGCATCAGAATTTTATAGGGTTGAGCATATAGTCTGTGTACATGCTTTGTTAGATGTGCACTTGGGTGCTCCTTAGTGATTGCTAATGGTTTTGTATATAACATCTCCATTGCCAGTACGCAGAAATGCAACTGATTTTAGCATGTTGATATTGCACCTTGGACTCTGTTTGAACTTATTTATTATTTTTGTTTGTTTATTTTTGTGTTTATTTTAAAGACTGAGGGGTTTTGTTTCATTTTGTTTTCCAATTTAGGTGGTTACATCACTTACAAAAAAAAAAGTAGTTTTAGTTTTTCTTTTCTGATCCATCTTGCTTACTTTCTTTGCCTTACTACATTGACCAGAGAGTTTGAGCATCCTGCTCTCTCATCATTCTCAATCAACAGAATGCTCAAACTCTCTAGTCAAGTAAAACATCTTCATGTGACTCTTACCACAGAGGGTAAGGGAAACATCCCCTCTCCCATCATGAAGTGAGATCATAGCTGTTGACGTTTTGTAAATGGTCTTCATTAAACTGAGAAAGTTGCCTTCCAGCTCCATCTTCCTGAAAGGTTCTTCCATATACTAACTGGAACTGAATTTTGTCAGATGTTTGATGTGATCTTATGATTTTTATTTTTTAAGCTTGTACCCCATAATGTTACTGTAAATGTAAGAAAGCAAACGATTTCACTCCAATTGCAAATCCTGCTAATATTTTTGCATCTTCGTTTATTACATTTTTAAAAGAAAAGCTTTCTTTGGTTTGGAAGTCTGATGTCTGGAGAGAGAAGGAAAGGAAGAGAGAGATGTTTCATGCCCTAGTTCATTCCGTGAATGGCCATAACAGCCAGAGCTGTGCCAGTCCAAAGCTGGGAGCTAGGACTTCCTCCAGGTATCCCTTGAGGATGCATGGATCCAAGCACTTAGGGCATCTTCCACTACCCTGCCAGTTACATCAGCGGAGAACTGGGAAGTGGAGCAACCAGGACTCCAAGTCAGATCCATGTGTGATGCTAGCGTTTCAGGCAGGGGCTTCACCAACTAAACTTCAGTGCCAGCCCCTGCATCTTTGTTCAC